ACAGTGACCAGCCCCTTTCTAAACACACGGCAGCTGGGCCGAACTGTCATTCTGCACCCTGGGACTCTAGTTGGCTGTGGAAAGAGAGCAAGGGACGGAGAGAAAGACAGTGACCAGCCCCTTTCTAAACACACGGCAGCTGGGCCGAACTGTCATTCTGCACCCTGGCCTGCTTACACACACACACACACACACACACACACACACACACACACACAAACACTCTGCGGCCCCTCCTCTGGCTTTATAGCGCTTTGTGTTTTTTGTTTTCCGATAATTCCCTTGGCATCTACTAGAGGGAGCCTAACTAACCTGTTTGAATGAGTTTTATCGTTTTTGTCACTTCTAACACACAAGCCCTCACACACACCCATTGGTTTCCTCCGCGTCCTGCCGTCAACATGCCCAGAGGTGCGTTCAATCTCCCCTCCTAATGAAGCATGAGGCCGAAAGGGGAGTTTCTCCAGGCAGGGGCCGAAAATAAGGGATGAATGGATGATAGAGGGGGGCAGTGAAGGAGTGGAGAGAAGGGGGTTGAGCAGGGGCCGTCTTTGATACAGCGCTGGCCCGGGCGGGGGGTAGTGTGTTTTTTAGCCAGAAGATTCACCATTCACACTCCTCTGTCGGTTGCTCGTTTGAAGCGCCTTCACAAAGAGGAGTTTGTGGGCCGGGGGCCAAAAGGAGTTTTGTCATTCACAGAGTCCCTCTCCTCCTCCTCTTTAACCTCTCGCTCATTCTTTCGCTCTTTTGAAATGAGAAGTGCTTTATCGGGCAAGAACGCAGCCAATTAATGTTCAACCAACAGCCCGAATGGCTACAAAACTACACTGTAAAAATGATTTTGTGAAGGTTCGTTTTATAAAGAAAATAGTATTTCAGTCTTTCTACATCAAATGTGACCCTGTGGTCACAAAACCAGTCTTAAGTGTCAATTTTTGGAAACTAATATTGATACATCATCTGGAAGCTGACTAACTAAGCTTTCCATTGATGTATGGTTTGTTAGGATAGGACAAAAGAAAAATCGTTAATTTTGACCCAAACAATGTATTTTTGGCTAAATATACCCCAGCGACTTAAGACTGGTTTTGTGGTCCAGGGTCACAAATATGTGTGTTACTTGCCATTTCTTTGTAAAAATTTACCTCAGATTTACCTCCCTCATATTCGATCTAAAGGTTAACTACAGTCCTCAGAATTAGTTTGTTTGCAGTAGCGTTCGGTTTGTGTTAGACGAGCGGCAGATGTTAAGACCGTTTTGTTGAGAGAAAGTTGGACGAAAACATTTCAGGGAGTTTTTCTTTCTCCGTTCCAGCCTGCTGGAGTTCAGGAATTCTGTATCACACTCCACTTCCCAACTGTTGGATAAACACGATGGCCTTGAGAGCGTGTGTGTGCGGTTTTGGAGGCGTGACGCTTCCATGATCCAAACATCAAAGTGTATCTGTGGAAACTGTGAGGTAGTCCGTAATGCCGCTAACATGGCATGAGTTGTTTTTATTCCGTGCCTTTTTTTGTGTGTGCTTGCGTGTAGGTGAAAATAAAGTAATTTGGGATGCGTCCTACACATCTGGTCTTAGAGAATATATCATACTGCGGTGGCCCATGTTGTAAAAACACTATTTTTGAGATGTTTCAGCCTCTAAAAAGACTTTGACAGCTCTCTGGCAACTGACTTCCTCTTCACTTTGTGGAGTCCAGACAACCCGTTGACCTCACTGGCATGCCTTTGTGCGGATGGGGCATCAGTGTGTGTTTCTGTTAGCTGACGTTTTTTATTAGAAGGTTAAATAAATATGTCTACCGTATGAGCTAAAATGCACTTATTTTTATATTTAATTATATTTACAATACTGTTTGGGGTCAGTATGTCTTTTTGTTTTATTCAGTTAAATATTAAAGGAAAATCTGACTTTTCCAGTGCTATAATCAGGTCACCAGTGCATCTACCAACCAAGGAAATGTCAAAAAGATTAACCCAGTAACTTTGTTTTGGTAAGCCTTTTTCTGCAAGCGTCTAAGAAAACGAGCGCGTCAGATTTCGTTCCGTGGCAAAGAAATCTCATTATAATATTACCGCCCCTTAATCTGTAAGTTTACACCCACGGCGCCGTCATTTTGATTTTCGCAAGCGACAACAGTGTACCAGTTCTAATGCCATGGCGAAAGTTTGAGCAAAACATGCTAACTGTTCTGTCTTTGGCTGTACAGACGAGCACAGAACACTATTTAGATTCCCAGCCTCAGAGGAGACAAGACAGCAGTTGATTTATTGATTTATTTACTGTATATTGTTGCTGCCACACAGATAAACATGTGATTTATTTCCCAGCAGTTTACCTTTATATTACATATTGTAAAAAGGGGCATAATATGTCTTCTTTAATACTTATATTCAGGAAAGACACATTAAATATGGCAAAAGTGTCAGTGAAGATACTGTTTGGGGTCAGTATGTTGTTGTTTTTTTGTTTTTTTCTGAAAGATATTCATACTTCTATTCAGGAAATCCGCATTAAATTGATAAAAAGTGACAGTGAAGACATTTATAATGTTAAAAAAGATTTCTATATCAGATAAATGCTAAAAAAAACTTAAAATTTATGAAAAAAAATCACATTTTCAACAAAAAATATTAGACAGCGCATCTGTTTTAAACAACAACAATAATAAATGTTTCTTGATCATCAAATCAGCATATTAGAATGGTTTCTAAAAAGATAATGTGACACTGAAGACTGAAGTATAATAGCTGCTGAAAATTCAGCTTTTCCCATAAATAAATCACATTTTAAAATATATTAAAATATAATTAAATTGTTTCAAATTCTAATAATATTATTGTTTTTATTTAAAAGTAGACAGGATGAACATTTATATTTGACCATGAGAATCTCAATGCTTTTACAGTATAGTGTGTGATAACATAAAAAATTCCACATTGTTCCAGCTTGGAAAATCACATCTGACTGTAGTTTAAAGGGCTCCAGGTGGGTGGATGTTTTGGACTATTTGACCTGTGGTTTGCCATTTGTCACAGAAAGAGAGAGCGAGAGGAAAGGCTTTAGAAATAAACCGCAGGACTGGGTGGGTCAGAGAACGCATACATACACGCTTGACACATGACACAGACTCATACACACAGGTGAGAACAAGCACACACAGTGCCCGGCTCGAGTGCCGTAATAGTTTAAAGAGAAAGCCTGGCCTACTTTCCACATGCACCGTAACCCAGTTTACATAGATTCAGACGCACGGAGCGGAGTCACAAACCTGCTCCACATCCCTTCTGTGTGTGAGAGAGCTGTTAAAAGACAGCGCATGATCTTCTTACAGTTCTGTAATCTAAAACAGATGTGCTTTGGCACACACATTCTCGTATGCTCAGATGTCAAGCAAAAGAGAGATCTTCCAATCTAATCCGTTCCCTTCATGTGTTCAGGAGTAGTGTGTGTGTGTGTGTGTGTGTGTGTGTGTGTGTGTGTTTGTGCGTGTGTCAGGGCTTGCACTAACCTGCTCCTGCCAAAAGCAGGAAATGAGGGAGCTGTAAGAAAATGGACTGCCACTGTTTAGTCTCTGAACACGCACACACGCACACATACACAGTGTTTAGTCTTCTCCAGCAGCTGTGCTATTCTAAGCAACACAGGCAGGAAGAACAGAGAGAGCAGAAATAGATGGATGATATTGGGACAGTAATTCTAAACTCCTGTTGTAGTTTTGCTCTGCAAAACTTCACAATAATCTACTCTAAACATGCTCTACTATACTATGACATTACAGTGCCTACCTAACACTCTTCTACTTGTTTCCGCTCTACACAATTCTATTTCATGACATTGTTTTTTATTTGTTTCTGTACTTAAACTATTCTACTCTACTCAACTGTATTATATTCTAGTTTTTTCTATTCTATTCTGCTTTTTTCAAAACTTTTATTCTCCATTAGTTTTATTGTATTCTAATCAAATGTATTCTTTTCCAATACTCAACTTTTATTTTTCTTCTATCCTTTTCTATTCCACTCTGTTCAGTTAAGTTTACTCTAGTCAAGTCTGCTCAGCTCTGTTCTGTAGTATTCTACTTGATTCAGTTCTTCTCAAATCTTTTCTATTATTCTATAACGCTATGCTATTATGCCAGTCTATTCTACACTACTGAAATGTATAGTATAGTATGTATAGTTTCTTCCATTTTCTACTCAACTCTACTCAAATCTATTTTAGTTCACTTTATCTACTCTTTATTCTACTTTTCTATACATTCTATAGTTCTATTGTTCTAAACAACAATTATCTTCAAGTTTACTGAATTATACTCTACTCAGGTTCATTTTATTATTACCTTTTATATTATATCCACTCTATTTCACTGAATTATACTTTATTCTTTTCTGCCCTGTTATATTATATATTCTAGTACTTTCGTCTCTACTTGTTCAACTGTATTCTACGTAACTTTATTCTGTTCTACTCTATTGAATTGTTTTGAATTGAACTTTAACTTATTCTACTCTATTTAGACCATTTTCTATTCAACTCAACTCAATTATAGTATATTTTAGTTTACTTTATTCTACTCTTCTCAACTTTATTCTACTCTGTTATATTCTGCTGTGCTCAACTGTACTTCATTCACTTTTACTCAACTTTGTTCTACTCTTTTTTTTTGTTGCTCTATGCAACTTTTTTCTACTCCGCTCAAGTCCACTCTACTCTACTGTACTTTACTCAACTCTGTACTAATCTGTTCTAATCTATTCTAAAATATTGTATTTCTGTTGTGTTGTTCTCTATATGATACTTTAAATAGTTCCACGATACTCCAGCTTTACTTTCATTTCTTATGTTTATCCCTTTTCACATCATGCACCTATAGTTATTGTCTTGTTATATTTTGACTGTTAAATTAATTTTGCCACTAATTGGTCAGTTGATGAATGTGCTAATTAGTTGTGCAAAATTTCACTGAGTAACCTATCACTTCCTCCTACTCCACAGTATCATCATGTATAACCACCTACAAGAAAACCCCACCCCCAGTCCCGCCCAGGTCAACACCCACCAGACCATACATCTCTATAACAGCCCAGAGCAGCACAGAATCTGCACAAGATGCCTACAATGAGCTCACCAGTGCTGGTCCTGCTAACCGGGCCTTAGCAGCGGTCCAGTCGGGCCTCAGCAACTCCACAGAGAGCATTGATAGCATGAAGGCCCTGACAGCAGCCATTGAGGCAGCGAACGCTCAAGTCCACGGCCCAGCCAGCCAGCATGTGACCAACAGCACCATCACCTTCACCACAGCCTCCGCCACCACTAGCGTAAGACACATCTCACAGGAAGCTAAGAGAGATGCCCTCAGGAAGTGCCTGTCTATAGGGATACAGGTTGGCCACACACACTCACACACACGCACATCTGTGTTGCCTATAGGGTTACAGATTGTATAAGCCAAACCAAACTTACATAGAAAACAAGAAACAGAGAATTATATGTGAAATTCAATACAGGAGAGTCAATTTACAAAAAATAAGTAAACATTCATCTACTCATATTTATGGAAAAATAGACTGTGTCTCAGAACCTTCAGAACAATATACTAGTATACTACTCTTATTTCTGCAATATAAAGATATGGCAAAAATAGTAACATTAGTATGCCAGTATGCTATTCCAAATTCAGCTGAGCATTTTTTACAGAATATAGGCCTACTGTGATCATTAAGTATGCTCTAAGATTGTGTAAGCTATGCCCAAAAATGCTGTTAAGTTTTGAGACACAGCCATTATTAATGGTATATTCTCTGATTATTAAGTAGGCATACGTGTAGTATGCACTATGATGCCCAAATATGCTATCATCTAGGTAGACAGCATATTGGGTTTTAGAACACAGCCATTATCTATAGTATATTCTCTGATTTTTGTGTGTGCTTCAATACATTACATGCTATGATGCCCAGAAATGCAACTATTAACAACAACTATATAGCATCTATATAGTATACACTGTAATGCTGTCTAGATAGGTAGCATCCTAGGTTTTTAGGGGCACAGCCCCTAACATTATCTGCAGTATATTCTCTGATTATTAGCCTAAGTATGCATCAATGTAGTGTACAATTTTCACATTTTACATCTACATCATTTAATACTAAAATATCTACTGACAAATTAGATGGGCCAAGACAAGCACATTTGCAGCAACAAATCTGACAAGAATCATTTAAAATTTACTTCTGACACCCAGACTCCATATTGAATGTGCGTTTGTCTGCGTTTAGGTGGACGGTCCTGAGGAAACCAACCAATCAGAAGTGCACTGCAAGTTTCAGTCGGTCGGCATTCAAGTAGAGGAGGAGAGATGGTAAGTTTATCTACACCCACTCACTCTCTCTCACACACAGCATATTCCATTACATCTCTCCATCCTTTAACTCCCAACATGTGCTCATTCAGATAAGATAAAGTCACTTAAAACATTACAGATTTGAGGATAGTGATTATAAAAGTGGAAGAATGGAAGGTGTAATAGGAGAGAGAAAAGAAAGTTGTAATTTCAAGCACGTGCTCCTGTGACAAAGACCCTTCCATTCTCTGTCTCTATTTCACACACACACAGCTGTCCCTATCATGGTGGTTTGGGCATTGGGGCCTCCTGAAAGGGTAAAGGAGTGGGAGGCAGAGAGACAGCTGCTCTGTGTGTGTAAGCGGGTGTGTCTGTGTGTGCGTGCACGGCCATCTGTTGCTGTGCCCATTATGAAGCAGGCAGGCTGCTGGGTCACAGACATGGTCAAGTATCGACCCCCTGTCTCACTTCTCTCTCGCTCTTGCTTTCTTTTGCTTTCTCTGACTCGCACACCCTCAGATGTCACTGTTTTAGCATCCTGTGAGAGGGAGGGACATAACGACAGGAGGAGGTAGAGGCCGCTAGATGTTCAGTCTCTGTGTGTTTCCCTTAAAGTTCTGCTATAGGTCCAGCTGAAGCATCGTAAAATCACTGTCTTGTAGCCAAAGTGCTGCTCAAGAGTACAGATCAAATGCCAGAGCAAATATGTTACACTCACACACACATACTGTGTATAAACAGTTGTTTTACAGAAGGTTGGATATGTTTAGAGTCAGTTGTCCTGTTCCAAATCCAAGTGAACTGTCTATGGAGGCAGTATTTTAAGACATGCTTCCAACACTGGTATACCTCACAGACACCTTGTCTCAGCCAGCTTTAAAACAATATCACAAATATCCTTCATAACCAACAGAATCCATAAATAATGCATCATTTATTGAAAAAAAAGTAATTTGGTGTTGTTTATGAATGTTTTACATTCAGTACAAAAAGGTATTAAAAATACCTATGCAAAAAATACTATTTTTATTATATTCTACACTGAAAATTGCAGTTAGATTAGTAACATGCTGACATCACAGTATTAGTTATAAATATATTTCATTAAGTACTGAAATGTATAAACATTTTGTTTAAAATAGACTATACCAAATATTTATGTGCTATGCATTTTTATGCTTTATAGAGTGTTTAGAGTATTGTGTGATTGGCTTAGCAATATGCTAATGCTGAAACATTGTAAATATAATTCATTAAATACTGAAATGTATAAAAAATAGAGTATTTAACATACAGTATGTGACCCTGGACCACAAAACCAGTCTTAAGTATGAGTATATTTGTAGCAATAGCCAACAATACATTGTATGGGTCAAAATTATCGATTTTTCTTTTATGCCAAAAATCATTAATAATAATAATAATAATAATAATTCATACATTTATATAGTGCTTTTCTAGGCACTCAAAGCGCTTTACATTGTCAGGGGGGTATCTCCTCATCCACCACCATTAGGATATTAAGTAAAGATCATGTTGCATGAATATATTTTGTAAATTTCCTACTGTAAATATATCAAAACTTAATTTTGATTAGTAATATGCCTTGCTTAGAACTTAATTTGGACAACTTTAAAGGCAATTTTCTAAAAAACAATTTTTTTTTTTGCACTCTCAGATTCCAGATGTTCAAATAGTTGTATCTCGGCCAAATATTGTCCTATCCTAACAAACCATACATAAATGGAAAGCTTATTTATTCAGATTAAAAAAATTTGACCCTTATGACTGGTTTTGTGGTCCAGGTCGGTCACATATACTATTTTACCCAGTATCTATGTATACTATGTATTTTTGGACTATTTGTGTTTTTAACTTAGCAATATGCTGACATAAAAATGTTGGTTATAATGTTCCCAGATAGCACACTCACATCTGCAATATGTCTGTTAAAGATCGCTTCATCGGTAAAGCATCTGCTGTGTACAAACATCTGATAAATGTCTTTAAGATGTCAGTTTTTTAAATACATTCTAAATCACAAATGTCTATTTGACATCTGATAGAAAACGTCTTAAAGACCTATTGCAGATGGACAAACTAAAAAATACATCTTGCAGATCTAAATGGAGACATCAAATAGACGTCTCCGTGATGTACGTGTGCTATCAGGGTTATTTTATTCAATACTGCTAAGTATTAAAATAGTTCAGTTTAAAACTGGATTGTTTACTATCAATAAATCAAAGTATTGTGTTGGTAGTTTAGCAACATGCTAACATCAGTCTCTGCTTATGTAGATTGATACAGATTATGTTTAAGATGCTGTCTTAGTAGGGAGCTGCCTATATAGGAACTTACTAGGTTTTGGAATTGAAACAATATGTGTATGTGTACACATGTATATAAGGTTTGGGCTGGTAGCTGCCAGCATTGAGGAGTTGAGGGCAGCAGATTCCTAGACAGTGAGAGAGGGACACACATAACACACACACACATACACACACACACACACACACACACACAGGTCGCCGGTATTTGGACTTTGCTGAAGCATGCTTTTGTAACTGAGAGGGAATACAGCTGTAAAACACTGGCACACACACACACGGCTCTCCTAGTACAGGTCTGCTCTTGTTTCCTGCTGAAGTCAGTGCCTTTGAACTCTATGTAGAGACTCCTTTAGCACGTCATACACTCTTTTCCTCCTCCTTAGTGCGGTAGGAACGAAGGAAATTAAGGAATGAGCCCCAAACCAATCACGTCTGGCTTCTTTTGCTCTGGGGAGGTGCACTATAGCAGGTACAAAGACATATGTGGTACTGATAGATAGATAGATAGATAGATAGATAGATAGATAGGTGTGTATTTTGATATGTAAGATAAACAACATAATAAAGGTAAATATGCCATTGAAAGTCATTCTTGTCTGGTAATAATAAAAAAGTGAACTTCTGACACTGGTGTCTTCCATGTCACACCCTTCAGAGGTTTTGGTGCTGTGGTGGTCTTAGTGGCTTTAACATGTGGCCCTCCTTTGCTAGGAGAAGCATCTTGAAAAATTAATGTGTGTGGGTGTTCTTGTGTCTATTGATAGCTTTGGGTAATATGTAAAGCTCTTGAGTCCACCATAGGTTAGTTTCAGCCTCAAACAGACCATCTCATACATAAATGGAAAATCCAGATTCAACCTGATTGGCTGGCTATGACACAATGTCCAGTCATGGTACCATGGTAAACTGATGTGATGTGTCAGTGTGATTTTGAGTAGATGTATGAAGTCAGGTTTTGATCATCATCATGGACAATGATTAAATAGTTAACTCATTTAGGCATATTGTTTTGTCATTTATATTTCTTGCCATTGCCATTTGGTTTAATATTTTGTCATCTAATACAATGAAATGTATTAGTTTCAGTCTAGATATTTTGGGGGCCACTTTATGTATTTTAGGTTCAAATGTAAAAAGAATCTGTTGTAAAACACTCTGCCATAGTTACATTCAACTATGAACATGAGAACCACATACACGCACACAAACTCTTTCTTATGATATGATTTACAGAAGGCAATGATTACTACCATGTGAGCGGAACAAGAAATGAATACTCTCTCTTCTCTCTCTCTCTCTCTCTCTCTCTCTTTCTCTTGTGCCCTTTATTTGTCTCTCTTCCTCTCTACAGGAAGTAGTTAACTGATATGAAACAGGCCTCTCTGACACACACACACACATACCAACAATCCAAATTGGTCTTTAATAGGAAACAAATGGTTAAAAAAAGATATCAGAACTCACTGTTGTGAAGGAGAACAGACACAGATTATTGGAAGGATGGGTGAAAATAATAATTGTTCAGTTCAAGAAAAGAAAAAAATCCTCACAATTTATGGCCTGTATGTGCTATCATTCTTTGTGTTGTGCCTTCTAATAAGCCAAAATTCAAATGCTCAGATGCACAGACACACACAGTCGACACACACTCAGGGTATGGTGAGAGATATCAGTGTGCTTCAGTGCACCTGAATAGAGCAGGTGTCCTACATCTCCAATACACACACACACACACACACACACCAGGCAAACACAGAGTAGCTGATCTAAGCCAGATTGCTTTGATATGGTATCCCTCTCTATTCCTACAGGTGTGTGTGTCTTTGTGTTTGTTACACTTGTATTTGATATCATGGTCTACAGTTACCTAGAAGGACGTTTTAACAGAAAATTACAAGCCAGTTACTGTATTTATTTATTTACTTATTTTTAAAATCTTAAGTATTTGAAGTGTTAGTTTTTACAGCTTTTTCAACATTATGGGGCATTGGTAACATTTCATTTCACAGCATTTTTAAGCATCATAGGCATATTTATACTTCATTTTAATGGAATTTTTGGTTACAGTATGTTTTATATTTTCATTACATTTCTTAATGATTTAATTTTTGGCAGTGGCTATTTGCACTAAATGCCATAGATGCTATTTACACTAAGTGGAAATAGCAATGGGTTCTATTTACAAAAAGTGAAAATAGCAGTATAATAGTAGATGCTACTTAGTGCAAATAGTGGCAGATATTTGCACCTCAGTATTGTAGTAATTAAATAATAACATATTGAGTGTAAATTATAATTTTTAATAAAATTATTAAATAGATGCCACCTTATTGGGACAATAAAGCTCTCAATACACCTACCCCTAAACCTACACGATTTACATTTTATAATGAAATACCCGTAAGGCACTTTATTTCCACTTTTCAAAATTTTCCTTCATTTTTATTGAAAATAAATGCTTTTACAAACTGATATGTCATGGGAATGGGAGAAGAATGAGTTCGGCAAAAGGCAGATTCGAACTTTGGCCGATCGCGGTCACGTCAAACGTTACCGCCATGCACCTTACTTACTGCTGCTGTTGCTTGACAGGCATCTTTTGTAAATGTTGTGTAGCCCAACCACACGTTGGTAGGCGGAGTTAGTGTAAATAGCATCTGCTAACAAGGCGGGCTATTTGCACTTAGTGTAAATAGACATTCCATTAATTTTGACATTTTTGATAATAGAGAATAGCATTAGATGCATTAAATGATTGAAAGGGACACTAAAAGCATAGTTACAAAATATTTCTATTTATAGATAGAAATCTATAAATAGAAATCTATAGGGGGGGGCGGGATAAATCTAATAGACCATGCACTGGACTTATGGCAGAAAATTCAGTTTTACCATCACAGGAATAAATTACATTATAATTTTTTTTAATTGAAAATTATTTTCAATTGTAATAACATCTGACAATTTTACTGTTTCTACTGCATATTTATTCAAATAAATGCAGCCTTGGTGAACCTAAGAGACTTAATGAAATTGTCCATAAAAACCTTATTAAAACAGTGTTATTTTTTCTCACCATATTTTGGTCAACAGTTTGAACACAAACTATACAACATGGTTAATCTTTTCTTTCCAGCTACCGCAGAGTTACACGCTCCAACAGCGTCACCACTGCCGTTCAAGCTGATCTTGATCTTCTGGAGGGTCTTGGCGACGACCAGTTCACACAGACCCACCAGGGGCCCATTGTCCGCCAGCCATCCCGAGATTCAGCCACTTCTACTGTCAGCATCCAGGGCTCTGGGAACCACTACCATGCCTGTGTCCAAGATGACTACACCGACGTGGACTTTGACCCCTCCATTCTGCCCCCTCCAGACCCCTGGATGGATGGAGCCATGGAGGAGGCATATGCGAGTGGGGTGTCATGGTCCGTGTGTCCGCAGGACGGACGCTGGTTTCTGAAACTGCTGCAAGCAGAGGTGGAGAGGATGGAGGGGTGGTGTAAACAGATGGAGCAAGATGAGAGAAAGAATGAGCTCCCAGAAGACAGTGAGTGACTCTGAGATAATGACTATCAAAAAAGTAGTAGGCTGCCTATCTAGACAACATTATTAGGCATTCATTATAGATGTTGTAGAAGTTTCGATGGGTCACTGTAGACTATACACTCATTTAGATTGTTCGATTCAACAACATTTTGGGTATTATAGACTCATTCAGAATGTTCGATTCAAATGCATTTGGATCATTAAAGACTCACTTATAATATTTGATTTAACTGCATTTTTGAGCATTAGAATGTGCGATTCAACTGCATTTTGGGTCACTGTAGAATAATTTTAAACGTTAGGTTAGATAGGGTCATTGAAGACTTATTTAGATTGTTCGATTCAACAATATTTTGGGCATTATAGACTCATTCAGAATGTTCGATTCAAATGCATTTGGATCATTAAAGACTCACTTATAATATTTGATTTAACTGCATTTTTGAGCATTAGAATGTGTGATTAAACTGCATTTTGGGTCACTGTAGAATAATTTTAAATGTTAGGTTAGATAGGGTCATTGAAGACTTATTTAAATTGTTCGATTCAACTGCATTTTGGTAAAGACTGAAGACTCATTTAGAATGTTTGATTTAACTGCATTTTTGGGCATTAGAATGTTCAACTGTATTTTGGGTCAGTGTAAACGTATTTTGAATGTTCGGTTCAACAGCATTTTTGCTCATTGAAGACTCATTTCAACAGCATTACATTTCTCGAATTTTCAATTCAATATCACTTTTTTGGGAGATTTGCATGTTTGGTTTCAACATTCCAAATGCATCTTTGATAAATTCTTTCTAGGTGGGCAGCTCACAATTTTAGAGTTATTCTACACTACACAGGAAAGTAATTTTAGCAAAATGGCTTTTGTAGCTAAATCATTGAATTTTCTAATTCCACCATGTTATTTTAAAGTCAGGTAGTCATTTTGTTGCAAAACTAGAGTGACATTTGTACAGACGGTGTCTAAGTCATTTGGAGAATAATCAGCCACTTTAACAAAACTACCAGTGCACAAGGTCATTTCACAGTCTGGTTACCTCCGGCTGGACTCTTTCATTTTATCCCACTTCCTGCCTTTTCCTTGCTCAAGCACACACACCCACACACACGGCGCAGTGACCATCTTCGTGTCAGTCACAAAGCCTGCTTGTTCATCTATCTCCTGTTTGTCTCCCTCTCACATACCAGACATTTCTACCAGCAGGGAGCCACCCATCTCCCTCGTTTCTTTCGCTCCCTCTTTCTCTGTATATTTTCTTTTTCCTCTCACTGTTTCTATATCTGTCTCCTTCCACTCTCTCTCTTCTCTAACCCTTCCCTCTTTCCCTGAATACATAAAATATGCTAATCTGTCCGATGACAGCACATTGTTTGCCATATGGTCTCTTGCTGCTGCATATGTTAAACAGAGCGAGTTCATTTCGTCGGCTCTCTGTTTAAACTGCCTCATGGCTCCAATCCACAGAGACACGCTGCAGTCACTCCTCAGGCCACAGCAAAAGCCTTTATATGACCCCCGCATGGCAAACATTAGCTTCCTTTAAGAGAATTCACCCGTTTGGCAATCTGATATGCTATTTACTCTTTTTCACTTTTAATCTATCTTTTTTACATCACATTCTTGATCTGTATGTGTGTGTGTGAGTGTCTTGGCTCGTTGGCTTTGGCGGGTGTTTGTTTGGTGTGCATGGTAAACACTCCCCCTGCTCCTCTGGTTCCTGCATTTGGGTTCCCAAGCCTTAGATATTTATGACCCTTTCTCACTTCAAAGAGAGAGCATTTAAACATTAACCGAGTGTCTAAGCCTTTGCGACACACACACACACACATTCACTAATGTGTTACTGCATAGAATCTCACATACTGTGCTCTCATCAACTTTTCAAGCTACTTAATCCAGTTTTCTTTTACTAAACTTGTTTTCCACAGCTGATTTTCTATTCTTTTTGTCTGTTTAGTTCTCGGCAAGATTCGTAGTGCGGTGGGTAGTGCGCAGTTGCTGATGTCGCAGAAATTTCAGCAGTTCCGGGAGCTCTGTGAAGAAAACTTGGTATGTATGGGGCACACATCCATCAGCCAATCAGAGCAGAGCTGCACTTGGTAACTCCGCCCTCGAATGGCAATGTTAGCCTGAGCAGTATTAAATCAGTATTACCCAATGAGATATTATGTCTTTTTTTTTTTTTTTTTTCAAATTAACAGATGTTTTGTGTATAATCTGTTCTCTGGCTGTCAGAATCCCAATGCCCACCCACGGCCCGTGTCTCAAGATCTGGCAGGATTCTGGGACATGCTGCAGCTGTCCATTGAGAACATCAGCCTGAAGTTTGATGAGCTACACCAGCTGAAAGCTAACAACTGGAAAGCACTGGAGCCTCCTGAGAGAAAGGTACAGATTTTACATCACAAATCCAGATGCATTACACACTCTCTAAAAATGGCTAAGAATACCACAGTTGACACATATTAATTTGCGACGCAGTATAAATACAGTGCAGTGCCATTTCGTTGGCATGCTTAAGATAAATGATTGGTGTATTGTAACTGTTCGATATATGTATGTCAGAGTAGATGTCATATTATTTAATGCAAACAAAAACAAGACTGTGAGGGGTGGAAGAGTATTCTGTTCAATATGCCATTCTGTATTGAACAGTTCCCCCAAATTTAAATTCTGTCATTGTTCCAAACTGGTATATTTTTCCCTTAAAAATTAACTGTTTTGACTAATTGTACAGTTTGCTTTTTCATCACATATGAATGAAGCCTGAGGCCTTCAAGGGCACAAAGAAGGGCACAAACACAGCACGTAAGCATTATAAAAGTAGTCCATATGACTTGTGCATTATGTTCCTGGTCTTCTAAAGTCATATGATAGCTTTGTGTGAGGTAAAAATCAAAATTAGAGTCATTATATCAACTGTTAACTGTTGCCATCAGAAATTGAGCCACTGAGTTGAGAATCGAATCAGTCCAATTTGTCACCTAATCATTCGGATCACTGTTGTGAACTGGTTTATGTCTTAAAAATTGTGTAAGCTAAACCAAATGATCATTAAAACGAATCAAAAGAATCATTTGTTAGTGAATCAGACATAACTACTTCTCTCATAAATTCTTATGAACAAGCCAAGGAGTGCTAGGACAGATGTCAAGTCACATGGACAACTTTAACAATGCTTTTATGGTGCTTTTGTGTCCTTTTTGAAGCTCCACAGATCCAGTTCCTATTTATAGGAGTTGCACGGAAAAGAACAACCAGCAAATTATTCAAAATTTCAGCACAAATGTATTGAACAGACAGTTTTCTGTATTTGCATTCAGTTAAATATGGCGTGACCTCTGACTCTAAGGTCTATTGCTTCATTATTTGAATGTTATTTTATTCATGAATGTTGCATGTGTTATGCTTTGATCTGATTTGTTTTGCTCATTTTCTTGTTTGACAGTGATCTGGTTTTGAGGCGATGCTCCCAAATTGCACGCTACATGTGCTTTACATCCAGTGGTCCCGTTCACCTCATACCAAATGGGTTGAACTCTTAGCTGGCAAAAATGGATCACTTAATGTATTTGGCTGATGCCTGGCACTCAAACACAACTAAATATTGCCGGTGACCCAACAGATGACCCCACAATTGCATGCATTAACAGTGTTGTGTTAAGTCGAGGAGTGGCACTAACCAGTTTGTCGTTGCTGTCCAGGAGAGGCGCGTGCCCCCTCCAGTACCCAGGAAGCCGGGGAAAGGTCCCGTGCTGCTAATGAGAGACCGGTCTTTGGAGGGCTCCCAGCGGTTGGAGGCCCGTAAGCGGCTGTTAGCGGCTAAACGCGCTGCTGCCTCTCAGCGCCAGAGCTCTGCCACAGAATGCGCCGACAGCATCGAAATATACATCCCAGAGGCCCAAACACGATTATAAACACTGAAATCCAGGTGCTCAGAAGCCTAAATAGACACACACACACACACACATCTTCAACCATAACACAATAGCACTGAATGACAAAGGCAGGGTAGCTGTAACATAATCACTCCTCTTTTCTTGTGTAAAGGAGAGTTTCTTCACTGTGGGCTTCTACTGTATGTATTTACGACTTAATTTTACTCTCTTCCTCCGTCCTGCCATTTGCGATGTAGCTCCCTTGTTAAACTCCCAAAGACTTTTAATATTTCTATTAGACACTCTATATTGTTAAAATAACCAATAATATATATATACTCATGCCTAAAATACAACATATTATTATGTCTGTTGATATTACTACCCAAATAATGCACACTGCTGAATCTTATTATGTAATTTGTAGTTTTTTTGCAGTTACCGTGTAAGAGCCATGTCTTGTGTTCTCAAAGAGGACATAACTTCTAAAAGGGCAACATACCGATCACTTCTGAAGATTTTAACGCCAATGTAGCCACAAATTCAGTGTATGTATGTAAATGTGTGTGTCAGGCTTTTAGTGCATGTATTACACTCTCTCACATGTCACCCTGCACCTCTGAGACAGGGCGAGGTTGTTCTGTTTTCAGTATCAGGGGATAGAATGGAAAAACCACCTCTTCTCTTCTTTCTTTTCATATTTTTCAACCTCCCACTCGGTCATCCTCTCCCGTCCTCTCAAACCATCCTATCTCCTTTCCTGTTTACTCACTATCATCTCCCCTCAGCAGAACCACTGGACATAGATGTCCATCATATCTATCAAGCGTGCCACTTTTATCTGTCAGCGCTTAACATGTTCACGTCATTGACAGAAGCGCTGTCAGAACACGCCACTCTTCACGGCTCTGATTCATTAGCCATTCATAAATTAGCAATGTGTCACATTATGAAACGTTACATACAGGCAGTCAGGAATTTCATTCAGCATTAAGCCCTGTTCACACTGACAGCGATATAGTGATGCAAAGTCTTTATTTGTCAAAGATTTCAGTGACATGAACAAGGTGGTGCAATGTGGCCATATCCAATGAATTGCTACATTATTTCTTTTGGTTGCGACTAAGTCAAAACAATTCCAATTATGAAATAAATATTCACAGTCTATAAAGCCAAAATTGTGACCCACAATTGTGGCTTTGTGGATTGTGAATTTTTATTTCATAATTGTGATTGTTGTGACTTAACGTAGTAATTATAATTTAGGTTAATTGCGACTTTATATCGTTATTATAACTATTTATCACAATTGCGTTTAACATTCAAACAGTATATCACAAGAGATTTTATTTCTCATAATTATGATTTTACGTAATGTAATTGTGGTTTTAGATGTTAATTGTGATAACATAATCGTGACTGTTTCTCGCAATTGTGTTTTCATGTGTCATAGTCACACAATGTATTACAATTGTGACCATATATCACGATATATTTTATAGGCCTATCTCTTAATTGAGACTTTACTTCATATAATTGCGGTGATAATAGTTGAATTTTAGGTGATAATTGTGATTTTATATCGTAATTGTGACTTTATTTTTCGCAATTACGTTTTTATATCTTTTATATAAGTCGCATTATTAGAATACCTCAGTTGTGATTCTGTATATCACAAGAGATTTTTTTCTCGTAATTGTGACTTAATGTTTTTCCAATTTTAAGTGATAATTTTGAGTTTATATCGTAATTGTGGTTTTATTACTTTTACTCTCATAATAAATATATCACAGTTGTGACCCTATATATCAGGAGAGATTTTATTTCTCGTAACTGTGGCTGAACGTAATTACAAACTTATGTAAAAAAAAAAAATCAACTTTATTTCTGAATTGCGGCTTTATTTCTCACATTGTGACTATATCTTTATACCTCACAACTATATTTTAACTTTATGGCTTATTTAACTTTAAATAAAATTGCTGTCAATGTGAACGGCCACAACAAGACAGGTCATTTTCGAATTCTATGGCATTAAATAGCTCCGCCCACTGTGAAATCTCATTGGTTTATTCTGCTCTTCATAACTAAACATTAAACATCTGATTGGCTGTGATAATGTCAGGTCACTCAGCAGTTTCTCCTTCAGTATGGGCAAATTATCTTGGCAGTAAACGCATCACATCGTGTCCTGTTAGGACATTTTGTTGAACTTGGCATAAGATTCTTTTTTTTTTTTTTAAATGCACATTATTTAGCATATTTTGTAAATATATAAATGAATTATAAAACTCCTTCCTGACTGCTTACTAATATAGCTCCTCACTATATTGGTCTAAATGTTTGTATAAATTAATATAAAGTAAAATATCAGTATTTTATAATGGAGAGATATTTAAGACCCGAATAAACACATTTAAACTTGCAGACCATCATTTTCCTCTTTACTATTGCTTATGACTTTCAATAATGCTTAAAGTATCATTTTAAATAATACAACTGCAATGTCACAGCTCGATAAATGTAATACATACACATTTTAGTTAAAAACTCAAATTTTGATGAGTAATTTATTCATTATATTTATAATCACAAGCATGATAGGCCAAGTCAGTCAAGTGTGTGTGTGTTTTCCACATCAAGTGCATGTACCCAAGTGCTTCCTAATTGACCTGAAGGCATCTCTCTTTTTTCCAACCGATATGTAGCACAGTTGATACTTTGTAATATAGATCAGCTAATTTCTTTTGTTTTTATTTATACAAAGGTGTATATACTTTCAGCAACCCTGCGGAGACAGTGCAAGTAAACACATGTATCAATGCAGAGCACATAACATCAGTTTATTATTTCTATTTAAGGAAACCTACTTTAACCATTGAATTACACTCTTGTGCTGCTCATGTAATAGATTTGTAAACAGCGCTGCATCATAGTTGCACTGACAGGTTCCTCAATACTAGTCAAAACCTAACTGCACTGTCTCATATTTTTCAATAACTGATAATACTAATTTGCACTTGTTAAATATGTTAAATAAACAGAGCTATTTCTTTTTTCTTTCTCAGAATATTTCACTGTGGATAGACACATCACTATAAATATATATATTGATATTAATTTCCCAGCAGCCAATGTGCAGCCATTCTCTTTTCTTCATAGACAGTTCAGTTGCATTGGCTTTAGTTTGATCCTGTAGGTGTTTATCTTATTAACTAAACTCTTAGTTCCAGTTATTATGCACTAGAGCCCTTCTACTGTGGTTAATGTTTGTTTGAAATATTATTGATGTTTAAACGCTCGGCCTTAATTTACGAATATATGATAGTCATGCACAACGTAGCCTCAGGGGAGACTATATAACGTGTGTATGTGCGTGTGTATGTTTGTGTATGTGTATATCATGAACAGGTCTTATACTGGAGATGTTACAGTACCAATTAAAGCATTCAATATTGATGACAAAATAGCCATTCATATTGATATTTCTGTATCAATGTGTTCAGTAGTATTTCATGGCATTTACAGTCCAAATTTACACCAAAATTAGGAATAATTTTGTTTTGTTTTGGACAATCAGTGATTAACACAAAGGAAATCCATATCATTTTATTTGTAAAAAATGATATAAATAAAATACTGAAATGTTTATTGAAATATTAATTGATTACATTTCATTTTTAGTATTTAAAAAGATATTTATGAGACATAGAGAGATATTTTGAGAGACTATATAGCACTTAAGTTTTTGCAGAAAGTGATCACAATCTCATTTTCTTAACTGTTGTCATTCACTGATGTGAAAATATCAGTTTATATCTGGCAACATGATAAGTCCTGACTTTTTTGAGGGTTTTATCTCCCAAAATAGAAGATTAGACTGCGTATTGTTGCCAAAATGTGGACTGTGCACACACCACAATGTTTTGGGAAATGAAGACAGGATATTATGTATTTACTGTTCTAGTAAAAGCATAAATTTGATCAAAATGACTGTGTGTAAATACATGAATGTTCTTCATTGTAAATGTAACCTACATCTAAGGATATCTTACTACTTACATTTTGTATTTATTGTAACAACACTGTTGATGTTATGGCACGTGTGAAATTTTGATCATTAAAACATTACAGATGCTCACAGCCATGGAGTGATTCATTTCCAAATAAATGTTTGTTCTATCCTGAATGAATGAATGAATGTTTTACATGGAAGCCTGTTTATACATTTCCTACTTTTTTCCTCAAAATTGCAACTTTGTGTCTTACAACTGTGACTATATATTTTGTAATTGTCTATATTTCTCAGAATTGTGACTTTAATTGTCAATGTTGCGACATCTCGCAATTATAAAAGTCCCAAAAATTGCAATTTAATCTCTCATAATTGAGACATTTATCTCAGAGTTGTAACTTTGTTTGTCATAATTGTCTTTATTTCTCATAACTGCGACTTTATTTCTCCCAATTGAAACCCAGTTATATCTCACAACTGTGTTTATATTTCTCAAAAACTTTTTGTAAGTGTTGCAACATATTTTAAAATTATGACTCACAATTATGACTTTCATGTAATTGCAGATTTTTCACTTATGTGACATCTCACAAGTACAGCTTTATATATCACAGCTGTGATTGTATTTCTCGTATTATATATAGTGTGACCGTTTTCTCATAATTTACATTATTTCAAGTAATTGCGACTGTTGTAATTGTAACTTTATTTGACACAATTGCAACTATTTCTCATAGTTCTGATTTTATATCTCACAATTTGGCTTTTTATCTCACAGTTGCAACAATTTCACATAAGTACATCTTGATTTTTTGTAATTGCAACTTTATTTCCCACTGTTGTGACATCTCACAATTATAAAATCAGCTGGGATTTTATTTCTCATAATAGATACATAGCTCACAATTGTGACATTGATATATCATAATTGTCTTTATTTCTTGTAATTGCAACAAGTTGACTATCACAATTTTAAACTTTTTGTCTTTGTCTCATAATTGTGATATGTAATGGTGACTTGCATATCTTTTTTTCCTCACAGTTTTGACTTTATATCTCACAATCTTTCTGGTTTTAAACTTCCTATTACCTTTTACATACTTTCCTACTATTAACTAGGCTTCATAGTTTTAAATCACTGCCTGAGGCCTGAGTAGGAGAACAGATCTTCTTTGACTCTTATTAATAGACACCTTCAGGCATCTCCAACAGATGAACCCAGACAACATCTAATGTGTGAGAGACATCCATTCCATCCAAAAGTCTTCAGTATGTAATGTCTTTTTAAATATAGGTGTTCGGTTAATTAACTGCTTTGAGCTGCTAATCACTCTGATCATTAGTTGTCAGCTAGACCAATGACCCTTTGAGTTGTTTGTTTGGATCGCGGCCCAGTGAGAAGTCTAAAGTAAAGAACAGCTGTCTAACCCGAGTGTGATTGAATATCCAGAACAGACGTGTCCCTGCTAATCTGTCTTTATTGTCTGTGCTCAGATACACAGTAATGCACACTCTCACAGACGCCATTGGCAAGCCATCGTTGACGTCTGGTTTTAGCTACCACTAATTAAATGCGGGATTATGCTAATTGCGTTCTTGTGAAGCTTACACACAGAAGAATGTCAGTATGATTTAGCAATAGCCTGTAGGAACTTGCCTTTAATAGGTGCGAGATGTCAAGGCAGGGCAGCGGTGAATCGGTATAAATCACCTCATTTGGATGTACCTGCTCATGCCGCCTTCCGCTTTATGAAAGCAATCCACCTATTCTGTCAGGCAGGCCTTACATGTCATTTTTCAAACACTACTAGAAAGAACTGTCATCTTAAGGCTAAGCTTTCCCATGCTACTCTTTGTTTAGAGGTAAAAACAACCTTGAATGTAAGAACCTTACTAAGAACACACTTATCGAACAATGTAGTAAAAATAAGCTGAAGGAAGGAGATGAACGCCCATTTTGTAGAAAACAAAACTTTATTTAAACACCATGTGACCCCTATTTGCCACATACATTGCACAGTAAGGAGGAGAAGTCACATCATTGGGCATCATGTCACATTGGCTACTGTAAATGCACTGGTCTAAGGTCCCAAACCTTGAAATCAACATATTTGGTGACATAAAACCATTCTTTCCTTTTATCCTCTGAAAGTGGTCTCAACTTGATAAACAAAACAGAAAAAAAGAAACAAACAACGAAAAAAACAAAAAACAATACAATTAGTGTTCATCCTTCCAGCTCATTTGTCCAAGGTGTGTGTGTGTGTTTAGGGCAGGGGTGGGGAGTATGTGGGCACATTCACTGGCCGTTTCTACACTGAGTATTCAGAGGAAATCTCAGACTGTAGTTCTGCTACATCTGAATATCCCTCAAGAGTAATGAAAGGAAAAAAAGAAACATACTAACAGCATCAGAAACTTTACAACAAAAAAGCAATACAAAAAACTAAACATCTATGAGACACAGAATGACCCGGTGCAGTAGTGATTAGAGTCTGTCGGAGAGAAAGCTAGAGTTGATAAGATACTGAGATGACCTGCCATTTTGTGCAACAAAAAAAAACGAGGCAGAATATCAGACGTGTTTGCTAAAAATGAGGCAAAATCCACAATCATTGAGCCGAATCTCTGAAAACGAGAAAAAAAGACTCATGAGGAATGGGAGAAGAGCTTGTCTTCTTGTAAAAATAAGGAAAGACAGGAAGTCGTATTACTGTGTTTGGTTTTGGTCCCCTGTGTACAAAACGAAAAGATACATATTTATTTACATATAAATGGAATACAAAAGAAAGAACTGACTTGCCAAGGCACCTTGAAATGCTTTACATAAAGGAATCCTCATCAATTTGATTTACATTTACCAAAAATAGAAATGATCAGGCCATGCTTGTTTGCTTTCTGTTGCTCAGTCAAGTTTTTTTGAACTCCCTGTGGAGTTCAGTTTTGGGGGGCAAGAAACAAACATCGATGAAGCTTTTTCATTCATCCATCCGTCTTTTCTGTCTTCAGGCGAGGAGCTGTTTGGCCTGCAGCTCCATTTCTGCAGCCCTCTTCAGCGCCACGTCAACCAGCAACTGGAAGCCGCTGAAGTCCTGGGTGAGGTCGGGCGGGGTGGGCGGCGGGGTGTTGAACAAGCCGCTCTGGGGGCTGACGTTCCCCTCCCCGCGACACCCGAACAGGCCGGCCGCGTCTGTGAGCGGCAGCTCCGTGGCCCCC